CTTCACTCCTCACCTCCTCACTCCTCACCTCCTCACTTCCTCACCTCCTCACCTCCTCACTCCTCACCTCCTCACCTCCTCACCTCCTCACTCCTCACCTCCTCACCTCCTCACTCCTCACCTCCTCACTCCTCACCTCCTCACCTCCTCACCTCCTCACCTCCTCACTTCTCACCTCCTCACTTCTCACCTCCTCACATCCTCACCTCCTCACTCCTCACCTCCTCACTCTTCACTCCTCACCTCCTCACCCTTCACTCCTCACCTCCTCACCCCTCACCTCCTCACTTCCTCACCTCCTCACTCCTCACCTCCTCACCTCCTCACTCCTCACCTCCTCACTTCCTCACTCCTCACTCCTCACCTCCTCACTCCTCACCTCCTCACCTCCTCACTCCTCACCTCCTCACATCCTCACCTCCTCACTCCTCACCTCCTCACTCCTCACCTCCTCACATCCTCACCTCCTCACTCCTCACCTCCTCACTCTTCACTCCTTACCTCCTCACTCCTCACCTCCTCACTCCTCACCTCCTCACTCCCTCACCTCCTCACCTACTCACTTCTCACCTCCACACTCCTCACCTCCTCACTCCTCACCTCCTCACTCCTCACTTCCTCACCTTCCTCAGCCTCCTCTCCTCCTCACCCTCAGCTGCTATTTTCTGCAGAGCCTGGGCTTCACTCTGCTGCTCCTAGCTTGCCTTTTCTTAGTCAATAGTGAACCACAGGCCAGCTGCAGCATCCTCATATTGTGATGTAACTCGGGGAAGGGCTGGACACAGAGTTTGTACCATGCCTTCTATCACTGAGAGTAAAACAGAGCTGTGGGGGTCTCGGCTTCCCCCGCTGCACAGCAGCTCCCAAGCCGCGGGGAGAGTGGGAGTGCACGGGCACCGAACTGTGCCTCTCAGGGGTGTTGCAGCGGATTTTTTAATAAATGTTTTCCACTTCTTTATTCTAGGTCCCGGAAGAACTGGCCCCTCACCCTCCATCTCTGGCTTTGTCTGCTCCCTCTACTCCCCAGGCCTTGCTGTCAGCACCTGCAGCAGAGCTGTCCCTGCTGTGGTCCGGGGAAAGTTCCAGCTGGGCCCTCCGTTGCACATCCATCCCTGGGTTGGGCATCCAGGGCATCAAGTCTACAAAAAATGCATCCATTTCACCTCCAAGTCAGCTCTGTGCACACCAAGCTGTGTACAGGACAGGCCACCTTAGAAAGCCTGGGTACCCACGCAGCCTTCCACAAGGCCCCACCTACATGGCTGCTTTAGGTTCTCATCATCCTGTGCTCACCAGGAAGGCTGGCAGATCCACACCGGGAACCATGGGCTGGGGAGAAGCAGGGCCTTGGTGCTAGAGAGATCTGCCCAAGCATCCTTCTGCAAGCCCTGTGACAGAGGAGTGAGCAGCCTCAGGAGCGGGACAGGTGCTCAGGAGAGAGCCGGACGTGTGCAGAACCTGGAGAGAGCCAGAGGAGGGATCGGCCACAGAGAAACCCATCACCTGCCAGCACTGACGTGGACGTTGGGACAAGGTCAACCCCCAGCCCAGGGCTCCTCCTGCTGCCCTCAGCCTGGCCTGCTGTGCACCGTTCGCCTGGGCAGGGCTACAGATGTGCCCTGAGTGCTTGTGCAGAGGCGCTCCCTGGAGCCACCTCACCAGCCCTGGCTCCCAGTGCTCACTGGGTCCCCACTGCAGCAATGGAGCAGTGAGGAGACCAGTTTGGGGCCATCTAGACCCATCCCACCCTGCAGCATCTCAGTTGCATGCTGAATTGGGCACATTCTGCAAACTCTATGAGCCTCAATTTCCTCATCTGTACAATGGGGATAGCAGGATTCCTGGGGACAGCCCAAGGCACACCTGTCCTTCAGTAAATGCTGGCAAACCGTGTAAAATAGAGCTGGGAAAGATAAAAGAACAGAGCCAGCATCCAGAGCAGGGCCTGCCCATCGTTGGTGTTTATGTTGCTGTAGCGACCAGGCAGCTGACTTGCTCCGGGGGGCAGGCCCCCATCGAATGACCTCCCAGGATGAAGTGCAGATCCCACCCCTTAGTCCCCAGAACTCCTCACCTTGCAGCCCACTCCTCACACCAGGTCCTCTTCCCTGCAGGTTTCTGCTGGTGGCCCAGCCCTCCAGATTCCTCACTCCCACGCCTCGGCCCGAGAATCCTTCTGGAAACACAAGGTGAGCACCTGTGACATGCAGATTCCGCAGCGTCTTTTCCACATCAGCCCCATGCCCGATGCTGTTGTTTGCCTCTCTACAGGTGGGAAATGGAGACCCAGAGTGGTCAGGAGGCAGCTCCAGGGAGGCGGAACTCCAGGCCACACTTGTGCCTGTCTGTCTCCAAAACCCAGGTGGCCTTTCCAGGGGGAGGGTGCCCGAGTGTCCCTGAGGCCCAGCAGGTGACTGTGTCAGAAGATCTGAGCAGCCCTGGCCCTGGTGTAAAGAAAGCCATTTGATGACAGGGACTCTGTCATCAGAACCTAAGGGGTAGATTGTTGGCAGAGGCAGGGGCAGGCACAGCGCACAAAGGTGGCCCAGAGGCACCTGACACTTAGGAGCGTGGATGCTGACTCTGCTGGGGGCTTTGTCCCTGAGTGAAAGTCACTAAGCCATTGTCGTGTCCTAAAGCATACATCTCAGAATCTCGGGGTTTGGAGAAGACTTTGGGGACCTCAGTCCCCACCCTCCCATGCTTCCTCCCCAGCTGGAGGCCCACCTCCGCACCTCCCCACCTCCCCATTGTCCTCGGAGTCCTTGGCTGGCCTCTCTCAGCCCCCTGGGAAGCTCACAACATTTGCAGCCCCATATCCCAGAACAAGCAGCTGGGCCTGTCCCTGGGGCAGTGGGACCTATGCTGGCTCCACAGCTACGGGACAGGATCTGGGTTTCCTGGTGTCCGCCTTTCTCTGAAGAATATATACCCATCACGGTAAAACCATAAAATCCTCACCATATGACAACTCTGATGGCAGCTGTGGGCCACCGAGCCCTTTCTCGATTCCCTGTGCCCACAGTTGGCCCAGAGCATCACACCTAATCCTTCCCATAGTGTGTGCCGTTAGTACGAGCCCCATGTTGTGGATAAGAGGCACAGAGGCAGAGTGCTGGTGGCCTGTGCCCTGGTCGCAGCCCGGGGTTCCCTGATCATCCTGATGCCAAAGCTTACCACCTTCCCTGTGCTGTCCCCTCTCAGAAAGCCACCTGCAATGAGCTTGTGTGTGTTGGGGGGGTGGCGCACATGTGCCTGGGAGACGTGCCTGTGTCGCTGTGGAGGACATCGGGACCCAGCCCCTCCTGCAGGAGGCAGCCTGGGGCTTCTGGCTCATCTCTATTCTGGCAGGCAGGAGCTGGCCCTTGTCAAGGCTATCTCGGCTGCTACAGCTGGGCTTCAGGTGTGAGCCTGTGCCTGGGACATGGGCAAATCCACAGCAGAGCCAGTGCACGCCGGGCCTCAGAGCCTCCTGTGTGATGCGAGTCCTTACCAGCTCTGAGAGTGGTGCAGCTCTCGGGAGGGGTCACCTCCGCCTTAGGCTCAGCTCAGCCACACAGACTAGCCTCTTAGACTGCACACAGTAGGTGCTCAACAGGGAGTTTTTGGTTAATAAATTAATGATGGAAGGAGGAAGAGAAAGGAAGACAGGGAGGAAGGAAGGGAGGGAGGGAAAGAGGGAGGGAGAAAAAGAGGAATGGAGGGAGGGAGGGAGAAAGAAGGGAGGGAGGAAGGGAGGGAGGAAGTGAGAAAGGGAGGGAGGGAGAGAGGGAGGGAGCAAAAGAGGAATGGAGGGAGGGAGGGAGAAAGAAGGGAGGAAGGGAGGGAAGAAGTGAGGAAGGGAGGGAGGGACAGAGGGAAGGAGAAAGAGAGGAAGGGAGGGAGAGAGGGAGGGAGGAAGGAAGAGAGGGAGGGAGGAGGAAAGACGGGAGGGAGGGAGGGAGGGAGGGAGAAAGGGAGGAAATGCTCTTTGTCCCAGCAGCCTTCTCTGAGCAAGGCCCTGGAAGACACAGGTCTCGGCTCTGTGGCTCTGGGCGTGGCTGGGTCCATGGAGGTCCACAAGGGCTCAAGCAGGGTGTCCTCGAACCACAAGAGCAGGAAGGGGCTGTGACCAGGGCAGAGGCCCCTTGGACAGTGACCCTGAGGCAGCTCTCCAGGGACACAGGGTCAGGATGGGGGTCAGGATGAAGGAGGCAGTGCAGACAGGAAAGCTGGCCTGGACCCAGCCCCCTGCACATCAGTTCAGCTGCAACCCCCAGCCTCCACCTCCCCACAGCCCTCCTGTGCCACAGGCTCCGAGATCACAGCCTTCTCCAGGTCCATGTGAGAGGGCCCTAGTACTGGGGAAAAGAGCGGCAGCAGTGTTACATGTGCAATTGGGAATATTATGAAAATTATTGATATTTATAAAAAGACCTTTTTTTTCCCAATCCTGTCTCTATGAAAAGCCGCGGGTCCCTTTTTCCTGTGCCTGGAGTCTCCTCTGCAATGGAAGACGGCAAGGATCCTTGGAGGGCCACCAACTCCACATCCTAGGGAGGAAATATCCAGAAACACCTAGAACACCCTGTTTTGCCAGAAAGCAAGGATGCTTTCCAGACACCATGGGTTGTTCCAGAAGGACAAAGCATCCTGCTTGAAGGCTCTCCCTCCTGCCAAGTTATAATAATCTGAGCACAAAAACAATAATAATTACAACACTGATTAATTAAATCAGTTGAGTTTCAGAAGAGCTCTGGGTCCATAAGGCTCCTCACAGGAGGGAAGTTAACACACAGGGTGCCACCCTTCATGGTGCAGGCTGCAGACTTCCTCCCTAGGGAGGGAACCAGGCCAGGAGCAACATGGGGAGACCTGGGTCCCTGAGTGGCCATGACCATCGACCTAGAACAGTCAGCTCAGGACTGTTATGTGGGAGCAGCAATCGTCCAGCTCCTTCAAGCTGCTGTCTCCAAGGGTCTCGTCATTCCATTATGGATACAGCCTCGGGAAATGGTGACGGCAAAGGGGCTCATACAACATGGCCCATTTTTATTAATTTTTATAAACGGGAAATTGAATACACATGGGTTGTTCATTTGTTGAACCAAGCTTCTATCTGCTTATAAAGATTGGATATACGTTTGCTTTTCTGTCTAAGAGGAGAAGAGTGTTTGTTTGCAGGAAACTGAGACAGCAGTGTCTGTGTTAAGAGTAGGAAGGCAGGGCCTGCTCCAAAACCTGCTCCCACATCCCAGAGACCACGATGCCCCCAGGGTGGCCCACCTGAGCCCATATCCCGAAAGGCAGAGCTTGTTCACAGGCTCAGTCCTTCAGCACCCAAGACAGGACACCTGCCAGTGCTAATGACCAGTCCACATATAACAGTCTGGGCCAGGGAACCCCAGGGAGGAAAACCACAAGGAACTGCCATGGACTGAACGTTTGCATCCCCCGCAGATCCCCTGTGGGATGGTGTATTGGTCTGTCATCACACTGCCAATGAAGACATACCTGAGACTGGGTAAGTTATTTAAAAAAAAAAAAAAAAAAAAAGGTTTAATTGACTCATACTTCCACATGGCTGGGGAGGCCTCAGGAAACTTACAATCATGGCAGAAGGGGAAGCAAACACATCCTTCTTCACATGACAGCAGCAAGGAGAAGTGTGGAGCAAAAGAGGGGACAGCCCCTTATAAAACCATCAGATCTCCTGAGAGCTCAGTCACTACCACGAGAACAGCAGCATGGAGGTAACCACCCCCATGAGTCAGTTACCTCCCACCGGGTCTCTCCCACAACACATGGGGATTATGGGAACTATAATTTAAGATGAGATTTGAGTGGGGACACAGCCAAACCATATCACATGTATTCAGAGGTGAGGACTTTGGGAGGTGATTAGGGTCAGATGAGGTCCTGAGGGTGGGACCCCACAGTGGTCCCTTATGAGAAGAGACTCCAGGGAGATGGTCTCTCTCCACCATGTGAGGACACAGCAAGAAGATGCCAACTGCAAGTCAAGAAAGGAACCCTTAGCAGACACCAAATCTGCCAGCCCCTTGCTCTTGGACTTCCCAGCCTCCAGAACTGTGAGAAATAAAGAGCTCTTATTTAAGATCCCCGTCTGTGGTATTCTTACAGCAGCCCAAATTGACTCAGACAGACACACATCCTAAAGAAAACACCAGGGTGCAAAACAGAGAAAGATGGGAGCCCAAAGAGTCTATCAGCAGAAACCATGAACTTGAACAATGAAAGGAAGCTCAGCTGCACAGGGGCTGCAGGTCTGGGAGACACTCCAGGTCCATGTCATGTTCGCCAGACTCCATGGACACCCTGCAGGACCAGAGGAGGTGTCAGTGAAGGCAGGTGTTACTGTAACACCAAAATGTCACCCAGGAGTGGTGGCTCCGGAAACAGGAGGACAGGGAGGCAGAGGGGGAGGTGGGCAGGAGAAGGGGAAGGAGGTAACAAAACTGATACGACAATGAAATGAATATTAACAGGCCACTATGTCACCGGATTTTTAGTCCTGAAATCCAAACCGTGTGTTCTGCCTTTTGAAGTGTTGAAAGCAATAAGGAGATAGATAGATTACTTCCATGATTTTAATTGAAGGTTTAGAAGAGTTTGATTGTAATCAATGTTTAAATATCTGGGGAAATGTAATCTGCTGAATTCCTGTTTTGATGTATTAGTCATGTAAGCCCTGTGTAAATATTTAGAGGAATGTTGGCTGTTTGATGTCTTCAAGGAGTATTCGTCATTTATAGATTCAGAGAAGTGAGGCAGAGGAAAGGCCCCTCCTGGACGCCCAGGTCCCTTGGCTTGAAGATTCCCCAACTGCGTGAACCCACACCGCCCACACCACCCACCCCATCCCACTGTTCTCCCACTTGCAGCACCCCCAGAAAGCTCTTCCTTGACACTGGCCCCTACTCAGCCAGGTGGAGACCCTGCCGGAGCCTTGACGCCTGGACTCACCCTCACTGCCTCCAGCACGCGGGGCTGGGCTCCTTGAGGGCAGTGACAGTGCTGGGCACTGAAGCCCCACAGTGAAAACAAAGGTGTGAGTGGATGAATGAGTGATTGATGGAACAGTAGAAGGAGGACTTCCTAAAGCAAAGAAGTAGCCTGGCGATGCCCCCAAGTTGGTCTACACCTTCCACACCATCCCCATCAGAATCCCAGCTGACTTTGTTGTAGAGTCAGCTGGGAACGGAGTGATTCTAGAACACATGTGGAAATGCACAGGCCCAGAAGAGCCAAGGGAATCTTGAGAAAGAGGAACTAAGCAGGACTCCAGCTTCCAAGCCGAGCACACAGCGACAGCAGCAAGGCGGCGTGGAGTGGCGCAGGGAGAGACAGCCAGACCAGTGCAGCAGACCTGAGGGCCACAAACGGGCCCATTGTCTCTGTCCACTGACTTTCAACATGGTTGCCAAGGCCAGTATGATGGGCAAAGAATCAGCTCTTCCAGGAGGAGCCTGGACCAGGGTGCGTGGCTCGGCGGCTCACCAGAGACCTAACAAACATCAACCCAGACCAGTTCTACAGCCGCCCAGTGAGCCCCTGCCCTGGGCCGGGCACCGGAGGTAGAGGGTGGAACCAGACACCCCCCAGGAGGCCCCAGTCTAGCCTAGGGGCATCACTGGAATAGAGTGAAGCAATCCCAGCTGGTTTGAACAGCAGAGAGGGCACATCCGAGACACGTGGGAGGAAGGGGAGGCAGTGATATTCTCTGCAGGGGCACAGGAGCAGTGGGGGCTCCCCAGGCCTGCCGCTCCCTGTACGGGGCCCCTGCCACAGCAGACGTGGAGGCAGGGATGGTCCAAGGATCCTGCTCACCGGAGCCCCCTGCCCATGAGAGTGGGAAATTGTTGGAGATGTGGGCTGGGCCAGTCCCTGCACACTCCGGACACACTGCCAAGGTGCTGGACCTCAGGTGGGCAGCGAGGAGCCTTTGGAAGGTGAGTAAGGGGGCCAGGGCTGTGCGTTCAAAGGTGGCCTGAGACATACAGCATGAGGAGGGGAAGTCCCGCCTGCCGCAAGCCCTCCTCACCTCCTCGCCTCTGCTTTCCTGCCCCCGCCTGCAAGAGCGCACCAGGGTCCTGGCCTCCCCAGACTTCACAGGGGATGCACAGCCTGGCAGCAACAGGCCCAGGCTCTGAAGAAGGCCGCCAGGCTGGGGCACAATAGTGTCGCTTAATAAATGTGTGATGGGGCAAGCTTCTTCCTTGCCCGCTGTGGGGTCACAGCAGCCTCTGTCTTACAGGCTGACAGTGCCTGGTTGAAACTAAACACTCAATAAATGTCAATCATTTTCCTTACATAAAATCTGCGCTTTGAAGAGGCTGCTGAATAATTGGAAACTTTGGTTCCTGCTTCAGCTAAATTTGAATACTTAGATGGAAAACCAGGCCTTTTATTTTTACTGGGGAAGGGATTTAACTCAGTCTTTTGGAAGTACTTAAGAAAGCAGAGAATGTCTCTTTTCTCAGAGAATATTGTACCCTGAATCAAAACAGAGTGGCAAATTATCTTAATGGTTGTTATATAAAGTGATGCTTAGTCATTTTCTTAAATTATTTGTCTGAAATGGGGAATTTCTTTAAATCACATATAAGACTGAAACCAACTAAAATTCATTTTTCACTCCAACAAAATCAACGGTAAGTGTCCCGCAGCTGAGAGTCTTAAAATCACAGTAATTACAAGGACAATATTAATCACAGCACACGCGGCCCCACCCGCATGTCAATGCCCTCACCGACTGTCACGCTCAAGGTGTCACCATCTCCAGCAGGCAGGCCAGCTGTGGCAGGGATGGACACACCACATGGCCGGACGCCAGCCACACACTCACACCAGCTCAGCACCCAACCAGAACCTTTCGGAGCCAGCATCCCCGCCGGAGTGGGCCGCCTCCTTGGTTGCCGGCAACTCTGCTTTGAAGATGGAAAGTTTTGCCATGGGCCAGGGCTCTGCAGTTTGGCTTCTGAATTCAGTCCACAAGGACAGACAGGGTTCGCTAAGATGAAGCCACATCTCGATGATGCTATTTCGTGTGAGCTGCCCCAACTGCTGGTGGCGTGGCCCAGCCAGTGTTTGGACCAGCAGCATGAATAGCCCATTTTGGTCCCCACAGCTGTAGCAGCTGCCAGGAAGCTGGGCAATAAAGTGGCCCCCATTTTAAACGGATGGAGTTGCAGTTGGGGGCGGCCGCGCAGGCAGCTGCAGAATCAACCGTGAGCCTCCCAGAGCGACGCTGCAGTTTAAGGATTCGAGTTCTTGACTCAGAGCATCTGAGGTCTTCCAAGCCCTGGCACAGTGCTCACTCCCTGGCTGCCCTTCACTTGTTCCGCAGGCACCATTCAAAGACCCCCGAGTGCCTCCCAAAGGGGGCTTGTCGAGGGCTCCCACTTGGCCAGGAGGTGCTCCACCCCAGGCCCCCTTGTGCTGCTGGGCCTCCCCAAGCCTTGGTTCCTGTGGACCTCAGCCAGCAGTGATTCCTGCTGTGTGAGGTTGCTGTCAGGACAGAGCTGGTGACCCACAGGCACCAGCCACTCCGCAGGGCCAGTGCACAGACATGCTCTGCCATCGGAAGCCACCACGTGCACACAGGCCAGCCACCAGGGCCTCACAGTCCCACCAGCGGTCAGGCAGGGAAGGATGAGGGCGCAGAGTGAGGGCTCCAGCGGACCTCCTGCAAGGCAAAGTGAGGCACAGAGAGATGGTTGAGGTCACCTCCATCTGGGCACCAGGTGAACAGACAATCCCCAAGGAGAAGGAGCCCCAGGGCTGAAGTCTGGAGAAGTCAGTTTTTGTCTGGTAGACTTTGGGGATATGGACATTCCAGGCTAAAAGCTCAATCTAAGCAAGGGCCAGAAGGCTTGAAATCCCCCAAGCCCCATTTGGGGGCTGCAGTAGACAGTGTGCATGCAAGACTAGCAAGAAACAACTGGTGGGGGTGGGGGTGCAAGGGACAGAACGTGCAAGACTTTGCATGTCAGGTACCGGCTTTGGCCTGCACCCCAAGGGCAATAGGGAGCCATGGAAGAGGTTTGAGCAGGGGAGTGA